AGAGAGAGAGAGAGAGAGAGACAGAGAAAACAAGACGGTGGAAGGATGAAAGACGGGAAGAAGTGGATATATAAGAGATACGAAGGGAAATTCGCTTATTTTCCCATCATTTCGACGTGGCATCTTGTCCATGGCCTTTCCTCATCCACGGAGCCAGGAAAGAAAATTGCTTCTCGTCCTCGAGAGCAGAATATTGCCCTGATGAGCCCGGGAATGCCTCGATATCCGTTCCCTCTCCGCCCCCCCTTTAACGTTGCTGTCTTACCAGAGTTATCCCCGCTAACGCGGATGCTCTTGTTCCTTCCGTATTTTTGGCCGTTTCTCTTTCAACAACCATCGTCTGTTACGACAACGATGACGACAACGGCGACGGCGACGACGATGACGGGACATTCAATTTGCTCGTTATTTATTATTCGAAACGCGACACTTCTCCTCGTTGCAACGAGACGCGCTATGTCGCAGAAGCGAAGTAGGATGAGAAAGAGAGAAGAACGATGGTGGAGGGGGAGGATGACGAGGGAATTCAGGGAGTTAAACGGGAAATTATGGAGTGGATTACATAATAAAACGAGGCAGAGAGAAACGGTACGGTGGCGTCTAGCTCCGGCGTTGAACCACTGCGACGCGGACGAGAGATGGGATATAGTTTGTTTGGAGACGCACGCGCGTTTCGTCGCGGGCCACCGGAGACGAGCAACGGATATTCGTTGCGACGGAAGTCTTGCTGGGAAATCCGATTTCAGCAGCTGCAGATTCCTCGCGCGAATCGGATTGGTTTATTCGTTGTATCCTGGCGCGTCGATGGAAGCCGACGATTGTGTAAAGGATCGGAATTTCGCGAAACTGAAACTCGATAAGTGTCGTTTAGAGAGCAACGGCGTTTCGGATACTCGAGTTTGCGTTCTTCTCTCGAATTCCAAGCAGAAATTGATCCACATTATCTCGTTTTCGTCGAGCCGAAATTCGTCGAAATTTCGGGATAGATCGCCTCTCTGGTACCATTCTCTGGTACAGGCGCTCTGTTCTTTTAATTTCGTACCTCGACGCTTTAAGAAGCGATTACTTATTCGTACCTGACGAGCGCGAAGCGTGACTGGCAAAACCTACGCGAACGTGACGATGCGATTTCACGGGGTGAGGCCAAAAAAGGATGTCCATAACTGACCGATCGTTCGCATCGACGTCTCCCTCCTTCCCCTCCCTCTTCGGCCCCCACTTCTTTCTCCCTCCCTCGCGTGAAATTTCCCTTCTCACTCTCGGTAGCTCGGTACACTCGTCACGGACGAAAACGGGATAGGGCCTAGTGCGGCGTGTCTCTCTGCGCCACTGAATAATTCATGAGGCGAGAAGCCAGCAGCCGATACTTATCGCGATAGACTTTAGCGGGCTGCCAACAGCAGCCATGTTACAATAAAGAAATCAACATGGCCGACCGTCCTTTTCGTTCCCTCCTCGGGTGTCACCGGCTGCCGCGCGTTTCTTCTCTCCTGCTCTTTTCTTTCGGGTCCACCTCACGGCGAGCTCCTCTCGGCGAGAGCGCCGTCACGTCGCGCTCACTTTCGATTTCGCCCCGCACGGTTACCCTCGTTACCCTCTTGATGCCGAAGAAGGGTGGTCCCCGACGCGGACTCTCCTCACCCTACGAGCTCCTTTCTTACCTCCTTTTCTTGGCCCGTGCTGCCTCCAGGGGTGGACCGCCCCGCCCAGACACATTTCTCCGCAACCCTCCTTTCTCGATCCTTGCCGAGCAAGACAGCCAACTCGAGGAAACGAACGCCACCGACAGGGAGGACGAATGAGACGGAGAACCGTGCCGACTGTCGGAGCGAGAAAAGTAGTTTTGTAAGGAGGACGAACAGGGGAACCGAGGGGAAAGGGGGGAAGAAGAAGAAAGAGGATAAGAGAGCTTTGGCAGCCACTTTTCTCGCCTGCACGGTATCGCGAGTCGCCAAAGGAACTCCATTTTCTGGCTACCCTTGCTCGCCGTTTGTCTCTCTCTCTCTCTCTTTGTCTCTCTCTCGAAGCTCTTCTTGTAAAGCTCCCAACGCTTCGATATTCTTGTAAGAAGAATTTTTCGTACCGCTGCGCTCACGGCGTGATGAACCCGCACGCTTTCCGCCCGTAGTCGAGTCTCTGTTTTCCCCGAATATTCCAAATTTCCTATGCGATTTGAATGCATGACTTTTCCGTTGAAAGTTACATGAATACGGGGCGAATACAATCTCGCTCCGCTGCATTGTCACGAAACCCGAACGTTCCCGTGATCGACGTTTTCCAACTTGGCGCGGATATTGCCAACTCGCGAAGTTGGATTTAGCGTGTAACACGTGATAAACGGTTGTGTGTGTTTTTCCGTTTCAGGTGTGGTTTCAGAACAGGCGGGCAAAATGGCGCAGACAGGAGAAGATGGAAGCCGCGAGACTCGGCCTCAGCGAGTACCATCATCCCGCCAATATGAGGTAACGTATTTCCTAATTATTTATTAATGAAATTTTTGTCACGATATTGGTCGAAATAGAATCCTTCTTCTCACAGAGTTTTTCAAATATTGATACTTATCGTTTTCGTTTCAGAAACGTGGCCGGTCCAGCTTTGGGTTTACCAGGTGATCCTTGGCTCACTCCTCCAGGTCTGTTGAGCGCTCTTCCTGGCTTCCTAGCTGCACCTCACACGGGATATCCTAGTTATCTAACGTCCCCGAGACGATTACCGTCGCCACCGAACGTCGGCGCCGTTGGAAGCGCAGTCCCAGGTGAAACTTTTATTCCAACAACTACAGACATTCGCTCCGGAGTTCATCAAACGTTATTGCATCGATGTTTTATAATAAATCACGTATTAGTGAGATCGGTTTATTATCTCAATTTTATCAACTCTTGATTAACTCTTGTACAAGTCGCTCATGTTTGTTTCGCTATTACCACTCCGCGACGCAAAAATTCATCGTCAACTCATAAAGTTCGTATAGTTTAAGTTTACTCTCAGAAAGATTCATCATCGTATGAAGGTACAAAGTAAAGTAGAGTGTGAATCAATTTTTATTACCTTACTTGCAATCCATCGAGTCAAATATCACAGAGAGATGATCCTTTTTTGGTCGTCAGGTGCTCTGAGCGGAGGAATGACGAGCATAGGAAGCGGGAGCCACGTTCCAGCGGCGCCCCCGAGTCCTCCGGGCCACGATCCGCGCACAACGAGCATCCAGGCTCTGAGAATGCGGGCCAAGGAGCACGTCGAGAGCATCACCAAAGGATTGCAAATGGTCTGAAGTTTAACGTACGACCCAGGAAGGCAGCATCAACTCAAGTACAGGCTGGCCGTGGCCACGCTCTTAACAACGCGGGCGTGACGAGAAGCGAAGCGACCGTGCTCTCTCTCTCTCTCTATCTCTCTCCACGACTGAACTTCGAACCTTCGAGACTGGAGAAACTGTCCAGGCAACGGGTAGACAGATCGACAAACACGTTTTCTCCCGTTCCTCTTTCTACGCTCGGTTTGGTAGAAACGACTTCACGAACCGGTCGTTTCTACTCCGGCGGAACGGTTGGAGCCGTTTTATCGGTTATCGAACAAACGCCGAAGAGTACAAGAGCGAATAACGCTGGCAACGAGAGAAGGGAACGATCAACGCGTACAGAGTACTAATTTCCAGTGGTAATCGAGAACGAGAAGAGACACGAGAGTTCTTCTCTCGTTCGGCCGAGTTATTATACCTGTAACTGATTGATAAATCAAATTTGTTATGTCGTTCTTTGATACGGAACGGAGGAGCCGAATCGTCGTTCCCGTATGAGTTCTCTGACGAAAAGCGGACGAAAAAGAGGAGAAAGAAGAGAAGAGTTTGATTGTCA